GATCGTTGGTCATAGCATGAGTTAAGCCTGATTTTGAAGCATTATTTCCTATCTCCTTAACTTACGTAATTCATGTTAAGCCTTCAAGGAACTTCCCAGCTTGTTTCCTCCTCTACTTTAGGAGACTGCATATGTAAAGCATCCTTGTAAGAACTAATGATAGTATAAGATATCATTTAGCATATTGGCAATTCTATATATAGATAGGTCTTAGTATTAACAAGTACGGTCATAATATTTAGAATTGTTCTATTTAAAATAGAAGAACTAGTAACTCCAAACCAGCTCTCCAAACAAGGACACAGGCCTGAGGGTGGAAAGGCAAAGAAGAGAAGGAGGAGGAAGAAGAGGAGGAGGGGGAGGAGGAGAAGGAAAAGGAGGAGGAGGAAAAGGAGAAAGGAAAAGAGGAAGACAGAGAGGGGGAGGGAGGGAGAGAGGGAGAAGAGAAAGGAAATTCATTTGTAGAAATGGGTTTTACAAGCCCTCAGAGACCAGAAACAGATAACTTACAAGGGAACACCCACCAGAATTACATCAGACTTCTTGGCACAAACCATCAAATCACAAAGAGCATGGGGGGAAATAATTCAAGATTTGAAAGATAGTACCCTCCAGCCAAGACTGATATATACTACACAACTGTCCCTAGAAACTGATGGAAAAACAAGATGCTTCCAGGATAAAGAGGAACTAGGGGAATTTGCAACCACCAATTCAACTCTACAGAGAATACTGCAGGACATTCTAAAAAAAGAAAAACACCAAGATTCCAGAAACAGTGGCAGGGAGGCCACAATGAATGGAGTAGAAAGCGAAATGAAGAAGACAAACTGGCAACTAAGGACAGAAAAAGAGCTCAACAGAAATGAGGCAGAGAAGGTTGGATGGTAGGAACAGCTATTTTGGAGAAAACAAGACATCATAATAGCTAGTGCTGATTTAATATCCTCTTGTTTTGAAGTCCCATCAAGCTTTTGTTCTTCTGTCTCCATCAGTCTTAACATGTTGTATCTTATTGGATTTTATTATGTGTGATAATGTAAACAAAAATTTTTATAGACAAGGAGATTATACAGAAACCATTGTTCTTTTCCTGTTAGTTGGTTCTAAATACCCTGTAATACTATCATTCTCTTGAATGGTTTTACATTGTCTTGATATATTTGATGCTACAGCATACGAAGTTATACTCAAAGATTTCAAGGAAAGAGACACTGTGGTAACTACTTTTATGTTGGGATATCTGGTGGTAAAACACTATTTTGCTTAAATGGTTATGCTTTGACCTGTACTGTTGTTATGTCCTCTTTTATCTCAATCTCTCTTTTTTATTATTTACTTTTTTATTTTTATCTTTTTAATAAAGGGAAAAATAAAAAATAGCAGGATATACTATAGTAACCCACTTTGATTTCCTATTAACTTGATTTGAAACCCTGTATTTCTCTCACCATCTTGTTTTGACTGATTTTCCTCTATTCTGTTTTGCTTGATACTACCAAGTTTGAGAGTATAGGCAACAACTGTGAAGACAATAAGATTCATTATGACACCCATTCTAGTATGACTATTATCTTCTTTTGAAGTCTTGTAATGTCTCCAAAGTTTTGGTTTTGTTGGTTTTGTTCTTTACTGTTTTGTTCAATTTTATTATAACTGATGATATAGGCAATTCTTAAAGTTTAAGATAGCAAGAGGCATTATGGTAACCAATGTTGATCACCTTGTATTTTGTTTTTACAGTATGTATTATGTACATCCTTTTGATTTGACTGACTCTGTTTTGTTATGTCACATTTGGTTTTATTCTCTCAAAAAGTAATAAGAACTGTGGGAGTAATAAAACCCAAAATGTGTAATTGTCATTGTACAAAAGAAAGGAAAAGAAAGTGCTCTAAAGGATATAACTGCATGTATATTTAAGTGTATAAGATAGATAACCATATTACTGAGTTTTGTTGGATCACTGAAGAGAACTGTTTGCAACATCACTGTTTGAATGTCCACTTTATATGTTTTAATTTTGTAACTTGAATAACTATTTCTAAGATGACAATATGTAATCTATTAACTAGTGATTTCCTATTGTTTATTTTTTCTGAAATTCTGTATAACTTGTACTTTTTTTGTTATTTTTTTCTTTTTCTCCTTAAATGAAATATTAAAAAAAGTTTTAAAAAAAGAAATGGGTTTTACAAAATTGGAATGCTGAGACAGGATCTAATCAGGAATGGTTGGGAGGAGCTTGGATCTAACACTAAAAGCACTCTATGGACAGAATTCTTTTCTAGAGGCTGGACTTAGCTGCAAGTAATAGGAAGCAGGGGGAACACAGGTCATGAAGATCAGAGACAGTGAATAAAGAGATCATGAAGGTCAGGATGGTAAAAGGAACACGACAGAGATCCAGACATAGACAAAAAGCCTTTAATTCAAGATAGATGACTAAGTACTTTCCTGAGCATTCATATTCCCAGTGAAATGAAAAGAAAAATATGTAAAAAGGATTAATTCCAAAAGACAAAAGTTTTTCTTACTAACTTTTGTACTGAACTATAGAAAACCAGCATCTTCATATAATCAATAAATATTTATTGAATACTAAGTGGAACTAAGGGTTAAGCAGTATGATAGGCAAAAATCCTCCTCAAGTGGAAGTTAAATTCTGCTGTGGTAATGGGAATTAGGTAAAAAGTAGAAAACATGCATTAATTAGTTTTATGCATTGCATGTTTATATTCCTTCCAGAATCCATATGGTGAACTCTAAACCTCAATATGATGGTAACTGGAACTGTGGCTTTTGGGAGTAATTCAGTCAGTGGGGTAGAACCATCATGAATGGAACTAGTACCCTTGTGATCAGAGGCCAGAGAGCTAACCACTGTCTTTTTGCTGAGTGAGGATACAAGGAGGAGTCAGCTATCTGTAATCTGGAAGGTGGTCTCCGGGACTCAATCATGCTGGCAACCTGGTCACAGAATTCCAAACTGTGAGAAACAAATACTCATTGTTTACGCCTCCTAGTCCTTGGTAATTTATTATAGCAACACAACTGACTATGATAAATATAACTATGAAAGAGTAAAGGATAACTGCCAAGAAACAATAAAGCAAGTAAGACCATGTGATGAATGCAGCACTATACATCCCAGACCTTCCTACAAGAAGAAAAAAATGTATACTCTTGGCTTTTGTGAGGCTGATAGACCAGATTCCTAGGACAGCTTGGATCCAATTATTAGCCAAGGATATTAAAATAAGACCTCTTAATCCAACTTAGTCCAATTCCAAAGGGTCATTTTACGGGACTAAGGCTTAGTTATGACTAAATGATAGTCCATCTTCTCCATTCATTCTATGGTGTTTCTATTCCTTTCATCACAACTGTAAATCTTGATGGCACTCACTAGCCAATTTCCTGCTTGCGGATCATCTTCTCAAAGCCAAATCCCCCTGGGTCTGTGGCAGACAAAATCCTAAAATTGCCTGATGATTTCTGCTATCTCGTATAAAGACCTTGTATAATCCCATCTTCTGTAGTGCTGAAAGCATGATGTAATATGCTCACGATTAGACGATTCTGTATGATTTTACAGATGCAATTAAGATTCCTAGTCATTTGAGATTGAATGAACAAGGAGAGAGATTATCTTACATGTATCTGATCTAATCAGGTGATTTTTCTACTGTGTTGTAGGAGAGGCATGTTCTAGAGCCACGGAATAGGAAGAAAATAGGTTCCTCGGAACTAGTCAGTCAGCTATAGGGGACCAAATTCTGCTAGTAAACTATATAAGTTCACAATAGATTCTTCCTTAATCAAGTTCCAGATGAGAACACAACCTGGAACACATCTAATTCATTCTTACTTTTAGTCAAGAGCTCGGGCTTCTGACCTACAGAAAGCATTGATAATAAGTGGGTGTTGTTTTAAACTACTAAGATTTCAGGAATTTGTTTTTCAGCAGTAGAAAACCAATACATGAACATAGCCCATGAGATTATATTGATGTAAAACAAAGTAAAGGTTGCTAAAACCCTAAATGAGCATGGGAGACTGCTACAGAGAAGTAAGAATTTTTTCCAAGAAAATCCCCCGAAGACATTCTATATTTGAAATCATAGTGAGCAGAACAAGTGAGAGCTCTTGAGTCTGAAACCAGGAAGAATGTCAGGGAAAGATCTATTCTGAAACAGCCGGGCCAGGCATTCTCTCCACTCCCCCTGCATATAGAAGAGCACTGATAGCAGCATTTGCTCATCTGAATCGCAAAAGTCATTCTAACCGTACAGTTTTGGTTAGACAGAGCTCAAAATGGTGCCATAGAGCTAGAGACACAAAGTAGAGCCTGTAGTAACTCAGAACTATCGGAAAATTCTTGAAACAAGGGAGAGAAAAGACCACTCCACTTAGGGATAAGATTACTGTGTAAGTTATCCTGTAAATCTATCTTCTTTAGGGAATAAAGGGGAGGCACTAATTAAGATATAGCAATGGCAAACAGGGAAGTGTGGTCAACCTATTGGAGAGTAAAACACATTAAAGCTCTTCATTCCTGAAAACAGTATTCCTTTATTGGGCAGATTTCTTATCAACTTGTTTCCCATCCTCTACTGTATTACAGATCATCCACATATAACAATTCTACAGGCAAACTTTTTCATGGGAAAAGACTTGTACTAGAAAGATGTAAAATAAGCAAAGCAAGAGTGTAGTGCCCTTATTGTTCAAGTCACATTCAAGGGAACCAAAAAAATACCTGCTTTTATGAAAAACCAAGGGCATGAGGAAAAGTTTCAAGATTAACAAGAATAAGGTCTTATCCAATATGAAATAAAAATGGCAGTAGGAAATCCACCACAGTTACTATACTGCAGATTGTTGTCCTCTTAAATAGTTGCTCAGCTTTAAGCTTGCAAAGTCAATCAAATAATACAGCACCTACAAATCAGCCAGTTACTCACAGCTGGGGGCTCTTCTCTACCCAGTCCACTCACCAGCTGGCGCATAGGTGGAGGCTTTGCTTCCATTTTGGCTCCCCTCGATCTGCATTCCGGATGGTTCACAGGCAGGGTCTTTACTTCCTTGCTCTCCCCATCCACTCTCCACATGGCTCACAGGAGGGACCTTTACTTGTTTTATTGCTCTGTTTTATATCCTTTAAAATTAAAGATTAAAAAAATCTGAACGAGCCAGTGGGATCCAAAATGTACAACAGATATTGTGGAGGTGAAAGGAGAGGAAATGTCTAAAAATGGAAGGTGGTAGCCACTGTTAATTTCCTATTACCTTGTTTTGAAGTTCTGTATCAGTTTCATTGTGTGGTTTGATTTGGCTTTATTCTGTTTTATTTTGTTAGATTCTATTATGCCTGATGGTATGGGAAGCTATTTTGAAGATAAAAAGATATATTATGGTAGCCATAGTTGATCTCCTATTATCTTGTTTTGAAGTCCTTGTATCACTTTTATTGTTTTGTTTTGATTTTATTCTGTTCTGTTTTCCTTTGTTTTGTTATGTCTTATGGTGTGGACAGCTATCTTAAAGATAAAATGAGGCACAGTGGTAGCCATTGTTGATTTTCTATTATCTTGTTTTGAAGTCCTGTAGTGCTCTGTGTTTTGCTTTGATTGGCTTTATTCTGTTCCATTTTGTTTTTGTTTTGTTCTCTTTAAAATAAAATTTCAGAAAAGGGGCACAAAAAATGGCACCATAATAGAAAATTTCAGAATCATTCTAATCTAAGATTCAAAGTGCTCTGCCATAGCAAAACAAGAATACACTGCTGCCAGAAAAAGGAGCAAACCAGGAAGAAGTGCTTAGAAACTGAATACATTCGCTGAAGTTAAAATACAAACAGACATGCTTAACAAACAAAATGCTTTAAAATGACATAGGAAATAACACAAGAAAATCTCTCAAAGTATCAAGCAAAATGAGAAAATATGAGGAAAAAAGTTAGAAAATATGGAGGAAAAAACAAAAATCCAAAAGCTATTTGACAGCAGTTACAAAAAGGACAGTCCAGTAAATGAATAAAATGGCAAAATGACACTGAAATATGATGACAACTTCCCAGACTATAAATACGCACATACATATATGCACACACACACACACACACACACACACACACACTGAAAATGCCATCTGAGTGTCAAAAAAGAAGTAATAATTCATACTTGGAAATATTCTCGTAAACTTTCAGAACTATAAATTCAAAAAAACAAAGTCTAAGATGTGGAGATTTGGACCTTGGGGCAGGTTTCTTTATATATGAACTCCAAATGTTTACAACAATGTCACAATTCCTTTGAAGTTTTCAGGGAAAATCACTTTGAACCCATTTTTCTATAACCAGTTAATTATCAATCAAGTGTTAAAAATAAAATCAAGGCTTTCTGACATCCAAGCAATTTAAAACTTACCTTCTATATATTCTTTTTTGGAAAAATCATATGCATACATATTTCTGTAAAAATGTGCCATGATGAAAACATATGTCTCTCTTGTCAGTAACTAGAAAAGGAGAGCTGTTAGAAATTCAGAGAAAAGAAACCAAATGTTTTATCAAAAAGCCATTCAAGCATGAATAAATTTATAATGTAGCATGATTTTGAATTATTGACTGAGTTTAAGAGATGCCATTTTTACTCGGTGCTTGGCGCATTCATCTTTATTTGTCACATACTTAATGACATTGGATTATATTTTCCTCTCTTGAAGTACAACCAAGGGACTTTAATTCGTCAGTGAATAATGTATACATAACAATAATCTTGTCAATGCCATTTGAGACATTGAGCTTTCCAAGTCGACTTATATACAGCATTTATAAGATTTAATTATAGGCTTAGACTAGAAAGTAAGTGTTTTATATCTTAACTATATAAAAAATAAAACAGAGGTCTCGATATCAGAACTGAAATGTAGAATCAGCTGGGGCTCGCCAACAAAGTTTATTTAATTAAACACTCTTCAAGTTATGAATTAAAAGCTCATTAACTCCATCCTTGCAATTAATAAGGGCAGTCAAAAGTCAACAGGGAGCCCTACCCATGGGTGTTTGAACATACAGAGAACGTGAAACATCACAAAAATCTTTTGCTATGCTTCTAACACTCACATCCCCTCCCAAGATTCTACTATAATCTCATTTCCTTTTCCTTTTCCTCATAGTTCTTAGTAAACAACAGCAAGTAGCTTGCAAATCTTATATTTCATGGTAGTTTCCATTTGTATGACCAAGTTCATACTGAGCTTCCATAGTGATGTATCTCACAAATATCATGTACCTCATTTTCTCATAAAATGAAAGGACACTCTTGATTCTGATGAGACTGATCATTTAATGTATTAGTTATTCTAAATTTAGAATTTATAACAGATAAACCTTAAAATTGCACTGTTCTAACACATATGGACTTATCCCTTATTCAGTAGGGGTCAAAGGGCTGATTCAGCTTCACTCAGTCACGGAGGAATCTGAGCTAACAGAGGCTCTGCATCTTCAGTGTGTAACTTGCAGATAGCCTGGAGCTTAGTCATTTAGCCAACAGATGGCAGAAGAAAGAAAGGATTATATGAAGTATTATAGATCAGATCTAAAAGGGGGATACACAATTTAAGTACACATTACACTGGTCAGAACTTTATCATAGATCCACAGATAATTGCAAGGAAACATTAAAAAATATGAAATACGATCCAGCTGATTGCCCAGGTGGAGGGAAACTGTTTAGTGAACAGGCAGCCAGTTTGCCACCATCAATGCTATTTGAAATGTTACAAAAACCCAAAACGCTTGCAGTGCAGTTAACTACTGACTCAGTCCTAGCTCATCATTAGTTTGCAAGTAGGTGAAGCACAGAAAACATGGTTTAAACATCTTTGTTTTTTTAGCACCTTCACTTGCACAAGTAGGTGTCTGAGAAAATCTTGAAGGAATTAATTTACTTAATTATATTCTAGTAGCAAGACAAATTAATGCAGCTACCAGAGTGAAAAATAATCTCCTTTCTAAATGAAAAGATCAAGCCAAGTATTTTGAACCAATTATATTTTTATTAAAATAACTACAATAGAATGAACTCATAATTGGTTATTCCAAATAATAGCTGAGTTAGTGAATTTCAATATTTGTTTTACTATTGAATGCAAAAGCATGGTAAAGACTGCAGACTACATGCATTCTCTCACTTTTCTTGAGAGAACAAAAGCATTCGGGAAATGTTTAATGATACAATGAATTGGTAATTTCCTAATTTGCTACAAAAGAAGCAGCATTTATCAGGTGATATTTACATGTGTGGGCTGCAACAAACTATTAAAGTAATGAAATTAAATCTCATAAATCAACCAAACAAATTCTCAAATATAGCAACTGATATCAGCGCACCTCAGTCTCCAATGCAGAGTTCACAGAAATGATAAAAAAAAAATAATACCAATGAAAGAAATTTTTTGACTGTATAGGAAAGCAGTTACATAAATTGATGGGCACAGATTTTTGAATCGGATTGTATAGAGTATTGGTAGATGGAAAAGAGATTCCAGAAGACATTCATTGTCTTCCATAGTTTAATTATAAGCCACTATGATATCATTTATTAAACATAACCAAATACATCAAAAGTAGTTTGAGTGCATGTGAAAGTATGTGGGCACAAAAAAGCTAAGTTTCATAGAGACATGAAACAAGCACTATTTATCAAATAGCAATTAGCTACATGTGAATATCATGATGCAATATTAGAAATGAGTATCAGGGAATAGACTGTTTAAAACCAACAGTTGAGGTTACAGTTGCTATTAAGACCAAGTCTACAAAGTTATGATGAGGTGGCAGTGGGGAGAAGACAGTTAAGGATAGAAGGCTGGGAACCGGGAGACCAGCTGATCAGATGATTATTAGAAGACGCTCTTCTACATGCATCATAAATTGAAAGTATACTAAGTCAAAAATGCACTTTATAACCTTAACCCACCAGACATCGTAACTTAGCAACAAAGTACACTTCAGAGTATGAAATTTTTACCTTCCTGATCACCTGGAATGGAGTTGTGCATAGCTGTCAGCATCCACTGAGAGTATCATGCCTCTTATTGCTAGCCTGGTGAAAGACACAAATGCAAAATTCAATGTATTATTTCTACTACTGAATGAGTGAGTTTTAGAACATAGTAAAAGCTGAAAAATTGTAAATCACCCCATGGTGAGTCAAGGACTCTATATATGTGTGAATAATCTAGTAGCTAAGAAGGATGACAAATGTGGTTTAGAGAAACTATCAATGAGCAGAGAAAACCTTCAAACTCCAGTTGACCCAGGACTTGGTAACAACCACAACAAGGAGAGGTGATGCACATGGCGTGGACTCTGATAACGTGAGAATCAAAGCTCAGTTTTCATTCCCAGAAGAAGCAGTGAGAATGGCTTGCAAACACCAATAAAAGTACAAGGAGGTAGGAAAAGTGTGTAAAAGAACACAGGCACCAAATGATGGGGCTGCGGAGAAAGCTGTGTCCTTGGGGAAGAGCTGGGGTGTGCAGCAGATTTCACTAATGATGGGCTATTGTGTTCTCTCTGAGTGAATAGCTTGAGGTGGCAGAATGCCTTTAGTAAATGGTGCTTGAGGACATCATCCATGACTGAGCAATGAATTCGAAGCCCAAAATGAGTAAGTGTGAGATCTTTCTTCTTCTTTCACACTCTGAGGAAGAAGACGTCTGTAGAATTAGAAGCCCGAACACACTTACACAATTGTAAACCCAGAAAAGAAAATTGTTTCTGGAATCTACTGTGATGTACTACTTCTTACATATCATTTGCTTTTGTTTCATATTTGGGAAATGCTTAGCTTTGTAAATCCAAAGCTTAGGATCTAGTGGTGATTAGGTCATCAAATGATGGAAGCTGTACAAATCAGCACACTAGCTGGACTGCCAGATTAAATCAGACAGGTTTCATTTTGATTTCACAAGTGTGCTCACATTTTTATATTTGAAATTTTTTTTTGCAATTTGTGCTCTTACAAAAGTAACCTTACCATATTTAGAGATGTAAAAGGAGACAGGGAGAAATTTCCCCCAACCCATTCCTTTTTCTGAATCCCCAAATACTGTAAGTCCACCTCATCATTTTTAGTATTTTATACTTCTATAACTTAATGCCATTGATAAGCCAGGCATGGTGGCACACACCTGTAATTCCAACACTCAGGAGGTTGAGGAAGGAGGATCACCTTGAATTCAAGGCCAGCCTTAAGCATAAAATTCAAGACCAGCCTGAAGTACACAGTGAGACTCTGTCCCAAAATAAAAGGGCTTGATAAGAACATTTGTAAAAAATTACCTTCAAAAAAAAGTCAACTCAGATATACTTTGGGGAATGGAGTCTTTCATAAACTGATACCCATATACAGAATTATGACTTTCACATTTTATGACTACTGTCAACAGTAAGATATACATTTCACACTTTAAACCTGTATACACACAGTAACAAAGATGTAAACTTTACATATGAGTTCAATTTTAATGGAAAAGGTATTTTTTAGAGTGTAAAATATAACTTGTGTTTTTATTTTATTTTATATTTTAAATACTAGTCATGACTTATTAAACTGATTTCATGACATTATTGGTCACAAATGACAGCCTGAAAAATACTGATTTTTGAAGGACAATTTAGAATTCCTCTATTCTTTTTTTTCTATCTAAGAGAAAGCATTAATTTTTGTGTCACTGAAATAAAACAAATGCCACACTATCTTTTAAAAAATAATAACCATGAGAATGTAAAGACTGAACTGGCAATTTTGCTCAGTAGTATAAGCACTTGCCTGGCAAGCTCAAGGTCATGAGTTCGGTCCCCAGCACCAAAAAAAAAGTAAAGATAGTACAATATTATTTATTTTTTACACTAGAGAGACAATACAATATTTACAAATGTGAGTCTGATTTATTTCACTGATGAGTATAGACTCAAGCTGCCTCCATTTACCTATAAAAGCCTCAAAATCATTCTTTATATAGCTGAGTAATATTCCTTTGTATAAAAATACCATCTCTTTTTATCTATGCTGCAGTTGATAAAAAAACGAAAGAGTAATAAGATCCAAAATGTACAATAGATATTGTAATAATGAAAGGGAAAGAAAATGCTCAAAAAGAAAGAGCAACTTGTAGATATACACATATAACTGTACAAGATAGATAAACATACTACTTCTCTTAGTACATCGAAAATAATAGTTTGTGCTGTCATTGTTTGTTCATTTTTTATGCTTTATTTTGTAACAAGCAACTACTTCTAAGACAACAATGTGTAATGTATTAACTAGTGTTAATTTCTTACTGTTTTGCTTGAATTCTGTATTATTTCTACCCTTTTTTCTGTTTTGCTTTTTAAAAATAAAAAAGATTGTACAATAATCATAACAGCTAACATTAAATGAGTGTTAGAACAAATTTGATTCACTCAGTCTCTTAATTAATCATCACAGTAATCCTGTGGGTAACACTTTGCTAAGGTACATTCTACATTTTGCAAAATGGAATTGAGGGTTTTAATCCTTCAGTATACTACATCGCCCTAGTTTTCTTTCTTATGTAGTTCACTGGACACTGAGGAGCAAAGCAGGGCACAACACATAACGGACTCTTTTGGGCTTTTCTCTTTGCATCATGCTTATCCTCCCATCTGCGTATCACTTTTCCCAGTCGACTAGACATTTCCAGCTCATTATCTCTGCAACTCAACTTCTTAAGGTAGTACAGCTTAAACTTCAGAAAACTCACACAATAGCTTTCAGAATTCTCATGCTTTTATCTGTTTCTATTTTCTCTTCTCTGGTATCAGATGGCTTCCATCTCCTCAAAATGCTGCTGCTAGTTATCTAATTTAACATTGTTAGTGGCAGCCAGAGAAACTTTGAGATATAGCCATTTCATCAATTATCTCCAGCAGGGAGGATTTAGTGCTTTTTAAATAGGGCCACAATATCAAGTTCATCTACACTATTAGTGAAGTCTTTATCACTGCCAAGTTCAGAAGGTGCTGAAGCATTCAAAGTATTTTTTGCCTTTGCGTTTTGGGTGCAGTTCATTTTCTTGCTTTAGAAGAGCTTGGGTTTTACCTCCAAGAGAATCACCATACAAAATCAAGTCTAGGCAGAACTGTGAAATGAATACACCTTAAGCCAAGCAAAGAGTCAGCATTTACTGATTCCCCCTGTGCTCAAAATCCTTAATTAGAATCTATATGAAACTTCAAAATGAACAGACGTGATCATCAACATTCTTCCCAGGATACAGCAGTGCCACATTCCCAATTCCTGGGAATTAGAGATGGAGAAATGACTTAACAAATGAGCAGGCCCACTCCAGGTGAAGTTTTAAGAATCATGGTATAATTTGCTGGGGTCTGTTGCCCTATAATGATTCAGTAGTGGTTCAAATAGTAGCTGCAATATGAGTTTGGATCCCAATGTAAAGCAAAGTAGAGAATACCTCTAATTGATCCACAATACATATGTGATGTAAGTAATACTTTTAAAGCAGGTTTTGCTTTAAATCATTGAGTTTTGAGAGTTGTTATATCGATCAACACAGGTACAACTAACTTTTGGAAAACAAAAATTTTTAGGATATGTTAAAGCACCTTAAAAAATTTACCAAGAAAAAATGTAAGAAAACAAAGTATAAACAAAACCTTTATGTAAACAGAAGACAGAGGAGTAAAAATCTCTCTAACAAATGAATAACTATAATAGGGGTTGGGTTAAATGACGGTAAGAATTTCCACTGGAGTTACACAGGAGACATAGGGATTAAGATGGGTGGGTGAAATGACGTGTGTAAAGACACAAGGAAGGAAATCAATGTCACATGAGCAAAGATACATTTGATTTATTTGGTAGAGTAAGCAGTCAGGAACTCCTGTATTTGAGAGAGGAAAGAGGTAGTTCATTAGTGTGTGAAAAAAACAGAGTTCAAAATTTGATATTAATTCACTAATTTTGCACTCATTCATTCATCCATCCTTGTGTTTGATGCCTATAACAAGCTAAGAACTCTGCCCAGCAGATTCTTGGAAACTGAAAACAAATGAATTGCAATCGCTAATCTTAGATCTCACTCTTTTGGGAAGCTCATACAAACAAATAATTCCAGGACACTATAATGTTTCATAACAGACATTTGTGCTATCAGCAATGTAAATCCAGAATGGAGTTAATTTGCATGTAGAGAATAATTCATAAATGAGAAAAAGATGAAAAGATTTTGGAAAGGCCTTGGAACAAAACATGACATTTGAACAGATTCTTCAAGAGGGATTATGGATCATTCAGGTAAGAGGAAGAAAGAGTATTTCAGTTAAGGAGAAGAGTATTGATTGATTATGCATTGTTCAACATGGTGTTATGTAAGTGTTGTTTGAAAGTTTCCATGTGTTTGTTTCCCTAAAGCTAGTAAGTGTTTATCAAACATGAGCTATAGCCAAGCGTTGTGCTAGCTTTAGGGTATAACAAGAGGCAAGACAGCCTCCCTTACCTTACACTATAGCTGGGGAAATGTGAGATAGTTAATTAAATAGATGATTACATTAAATCATAATTAGTGTCTGATAGGGTAAAGGGGAAAAGGAGATCACTATGTCAGAACATGCAGGCCTGCCTTAGCCAGCGGAAAAGATGAATTTGGGTGAGTGGTTAATTTCAGTTGAGAACTAAAAGTGAAATAGAAATTAGATGCAGAGAGAAATTCGATGCAGAGAAAGGGCAAGATGGTCTCAGGGAGAAGGACCCATCTGATGAAGACTGGGAGTGAAGAGGGAATATGTGATGATGGAGAAGTTGAGAGAATCGAGACTGGGTCAGAGGCAGAGAGAGCAGATGTGCAGCACAGTAAGGGCAGGACCCAACTCCCGAAGCTTGGGTTTTATCCTCACATCTGTGGAAACCATGAGACATTTTTAAAAGGCTGTGTTTGTCACTCTCTCATCTCTGGGACCAAATACCCAACACGTACTACTTAAAAGAGGAGACATTTTATTGTGGCTCACATTGTGAGTCGATGATCTCCTCACTCCAAAAAGGAAGAGAATGGT